GAGGCCAGGTCCAGAGTTCTTCCTCCCAAAGCTACGCTGCCTCTTGGATACGGATGGAGTAATCATCAGTAACATAGTAGGACCTGTATTTTTTTGTTCCAAGCACTTTCGTATATAGTGACTCACTTGGCCCCAAATTCCATAAAATGATACCTTTTTTATAGACAGTGAGATTGCAGCTGAGCTAAGGGGGATTTCCCCAAGATCCTTGATCTGAATGTCACAGTTGGGACCAGAGCCAAGATCTTTCAGCCTAGGACACTTAGAGAGCGCCTACTGTGTACTGTGTATGTGGTAGTACCCACCAACTGTTTGTGGGCTGACTTGATGCTCTTCGCTCTTTCTGTAAACCAGGCTGAGTGCCTGGGCGGGGTTGGGGTGCACACTCAAGAAGAAAAGGACACTGGGGGCGAGAGTGAGACTGGTTCCAGCCCAGGGTCCTCCCCTGCGGCCAGATTGCTAATGACTCTAACTGCTGCTCCCATCGCTGAAACCCCAGGTGCTTTTCTATGCCGGAAAATTTATATCTTGCGGTTTTGTGGTTAAGAGAAAATGACAGTACCCATGAAAGGTCCCCTTGTAGGCCCCTGGGGCTGGGCTGGCAGGCCCCACTGTGGTTTGTCTGGGAAAGTAGCCCCTGGGTGCTTCTGTGACTGCGACCAACTTTCCGAAAAGTGAGAGCAGCTGCCTTCTGCCCGATCAGAGCTGCTGCATGCCGGGCACCTCCATCCTTGGTGAACAAGAACAGCTTTGCTCCTTCAGCAGAACCCAGTTCCCCAGGTGTCTTTTCTTTTTTACGGGCTCCAGGAGATTGCAGCCGCCGGGATACCAGACCTGCTGGCAAACGGGTCACAAGGCCCTGCGTGTCTTTCCCTTTGTCTCAGCACAGCCGGCCAGGCTTATGGGGTATTAACTGGGTGCAGTGAGACATCGCTTCCATTTCTGCACAGTCCTCCCCACGGGCCTGCTTTGGGCGGTCTGGCGGGGATCTCTGACAGCCTTTAAAAAAAGGAACCGCTCACTCCTCTTCTGGGGAACTTGCCCTGAATTTTGAGACTCGCAGGCTCCGAGTCATCACTTGCCCAATTGGCGTTTGTTTTCCATTGTCATTTTGGTTAATGTGTGTGCCTGTCAGGGCTATAAAATGTGTTTATTTGTCCATTCATTCAACAAAGGTTTTACAATAGCAAGCCATGTGCCAGGCACTGTGCTGGTTGCTGGGGATCTGGTGGTGACCTGGGGACCAGGCCTCGCGGAGTTTACCGTCAAAAGAAGGAAGCAGACAAGTAAAATGTTAGAACTGTGATGTGTGATGTGATGGAGGAGAAGGGCAGGGGCTAAGGAGCGGGGCTGAAGGGCTTGGGGAAGGCTTCCTGGAGGGCTGGATGTCCAAGCTGACCTGTGGAGGCTGAGGGCTCACTGGAAAGATCCTTCCTGGCAGAGGGCAGAGGGCCTTGAGGCTGAAAAGGGCTGAGCACTCTGGAGGGGGCTGAACTAGAGAAAGCCCCAACGCTGGCTCACTGCCGAGGCCAGGTCAGCTAATCTTGATGTTGACCTGGGAAGGCCAAAGTCTTATGCAGAATGGACGTGTTATTAGTTGGTGCCCGGAGGTCTGGCCCTTGAAATTCTCATGCCAGTGACAGACGGCCTTCTTTGCTGCTGATGTTCGTGCCAGCAGCCCAACCGGTTAATGTAGAAAAGAATGGTTTTGATTTTGCAGTTATTTGATTTCTTGTGCTGTCTTTGGTTGGCTCTTTGAAGCTGTGGTTTGAGAGCAGTTTGGAGTGGAGGGAAGGATGGGCCGTGAGAAACCTTCTAATGTGAGCATGAGGCCCATGCGTTTCCTTCCCTCCTTCCTTCCTCAGGCATTTTTGAGCACATGTTGTGTGCCGGGTGCAGTAATAGGCGTGTGGAGACAGTCATGAATGAGATGGACACGACTAACCTAGTCTTTGGGAGGGGGTTTCCATACTATGGTTTAATCCTCCCAATAGACCATGAGCTAGATATCATCATTCCTGTTGTATAGATGAGAGAACCAAGACTCAGAAAAATTAGCCAGCTTCCCCGAGGTCACACAGCTGGTAAATGGCAGAACGTAGGTTTAAACCCAGATTCTGCTCAACTCGGAAGCCTGTGCTACATCTGCTGCTCTGGGAGCTCACATCTGTTGTGGGAGACCGGATAAGAAGCTCCAATATGAGCCCCACTGTGATACGGGCTACCACAGAGGTGTAGACAGCCCACTCAGGAGGGGATACGGGGAATTCAAATGAGGGCTGGGCAGTGTTGTCCAGGCCGAGGATGCTGGGACTTCTGGCCAGAGCGTACAGTTTGAGCAGAGGCCCAGTGAGTAGGAAAGTACAGGCAATATTTGAGGAATAGCCCTTAAGTGAGTGTGTACCTGGAGGGCAGGGTGGGAGTGGAGGTGAGCCTGGAGAAGAAGGTTGGGGCCCTGAGGTTGGAACTGGCCTCTGGTCACACTGGAGGGACCGATCAGAGTGGGGTGAGCTTGGATGAGGGAGTGCCTCTACTTAGCCCTGTAGGATAAAAGCTGCACTTGTGTCTTCACGTGTGTTAGCTTTATGCTCTGCAGATGTTCCCAGGGGCTTAGGTTCCATGATAGGACAGCAAATACACTTCTAGTGCCGCGGCTCTGAGTTGCCAGCCTCAGCAGAAAGCATTTGATTAGCAATGTCTGCTGAGAGGTGTAAAGCCTCAGCACAGAATATTCGACTAGCCATGTGTGCTCTGGGTACCTGAGGGTATGTGGTGCAGGAATGCCATGGGTTTGCCTCTGACTAGGTTTCACCAAACATCAAAACTATACAATTGTGTGGAATTATTTTGATTCTGACTCAGTGTTTCCTCTCTAGCAATTGTCCCTGTGTGCCACTGAGCCTCCTGAAGATACTAAGACATAACAGAGCTTGTGGCCACATGAGAAGGCCAGTACCCCTGGGTCTAGCAGATTGACTGTGAGCCTGGGACCAAACAAGTTTCTGGGGGAAATTTCAGAAAGGCTGAGGTAGAAGCAATGGTTTTGTTGTCATTATGGGTCTCATTTCATGCCTCATATCCCTCTAGCCACAGGGGTTCTTTACCTGGGGTCTGTGGATAGAATTCAGGGAGTCCATGAATTTGGATGGGGAAAAAATTGTACCTTTATTTTCATTAACCCTAACTGAAATTTAGCATGTTGTTTAATTTGGATGTGGGCAACAAGGCAGTCATCTTAGCAAATGATTCGTGTGACTGAGTCACCAGTAGAAATCAGCTATTTTCCAATCACGTTGCAGTTGTGGAGATCTCTGAAAAAGCAGTTTATACTTGTCACAACTTCAAAGTTGTGATAGTTATGAGACCCACTGCAAGATATTATTTAATGCTTTACTAAAGAAGCTTTTAGTACTCGCACAATTCTAAGTAATATTTTGATAAATATATTTAAATATAATTGATTTCCTTTGTAATCCTGTGTTTTGTTTTATGCATGTAAAAGCATTATTTTTAGAAAAGGATCATGGGCCTCCCCAGACTGCCAAAGGGGTCCATGGTCCAAAAATGGTTAAGAGCTCCTGTTTTAGTTGGAAATTGGGAGCCTTTTTAGATATTTGAAATTTTAAATTATTAATTGTTATTATTTTTTAGTATTGTGACTGCTAGCAAAAAGAGTCTGTACCCTTTAGAGAAATATACTGAGATGTTTACAGATGAAAGAAAAAGGAATGAATTAACAACAACAATAAAAACCCTGAGAGGGGGCAGCAGGCCTGGGAAGTGGCTCCAAATGGCAGGTTCCTGTATAAGACTTTGAAGGCAGTGCTTGCTTTTTAAGGAAGCTTGAAAGTCCCCAATGGGAGGCCACTAGAGTCTTGCCAACATCTCGGCAGTTCTCATGGGGTCCCCAGCTCACTTGATCTCAGCTGAGCCATGTGACTCCCTGGTCCTCTTCAGGTTGTGTGCTCATTTCTGTCTGTTCAAGTCTGCTCCCCCTTATTTTTAATCAGCCCCTGGCTGTGCCCTCTCTGCCTATCTGCCCCCCTCTGCATTCCTCAGTGCAGTGCAGGGCACCTGGTCGGAGCCCAGGGTTTGTCAGAACGCCAGGGTGACCTAAGTCAGGTTGTCCTTGTTTAAACTTACTTTATTTGAAGTTTCAGGTTTTTGAGAGTCTTTTGAAAGCTGTGGACACTCCGCCCCTGGAAGATGCGCAAACTCACACGTCTGAGATTTGCATACATTTCGGAGTGTGGGTCCCTGAAAGCCTATTGGCGGACTCAAGTCAAGGACCCTTGCCAATAATGCCACTGCCCAGCAGGCATGGCCGGCACTCGGTATGCTCGCTGTGTGCCAGGCATGCACTGAGTCCTTCGTTTCTTCTCAACCTCCCTGAGAGGAAGGTTCTGTTATTATTCCCATTTTCTGGAGGAGGAAATGGAGGCTTTTCTGGGGGCAGGGTGTTAAGTAACTTGTCCAAGGTCACAGGGCTAGGGTGTGCCTGAGCCCCTAGACCCAAACTCAGGCAGTCTAATTCTAAGCTGGAAGCATTCTAGGTGGAAGGTTACTCATCCTCCCCAAACCCCCACATCTTCCATATCATCAATTACTGACTCCCTCAACCTCCTCACCCCTCACCCCCCATCCCCAGCAGGAAGCCCTTCTTATGCTTAACCCAGTTCTGTGTTCTGACCAGTCTTGCCCATTACTGTCTGAGGATCCCGGTCCTGAGGGGGAGGCGGTGGCAGCCAGCCTTGGGTAGGGGGCAGGGGGTTGTGGGTGGCTCTCCAGGTTTCCTGCAGGCTCTCCCAGACCCTTCTCCCCTCCTGCTCCCTCCCCAGGTCCTGCTTCACTGCTGTCTGAATGGCCGCAGAGGGGAAGCCGGCAGCTCCTGTCCTTGTCACGCTGCTCGTGTTTGCCCGAGCTCCCCCGTAGCGTGCTCGGGGCTGCCATGTGCATGTGTCACGAATGAACCGGCCTTTTCTCTCCTGGGCTCCCTGCAGGCGAAGCTGGTCCGGTACATTTGCAAGCAGCGGCAGTGCAAGCTGAGTGTGGCTCCTGGCGAGAGGACCTCAGAGCTCAACAGCTACCCTCGCTTCAGCGACTGGCTTTACACCTTCAACGTGAGGCCGGAGGCGGTGCAGGTACGTGGGCCGTGGGGACTCAGGTCACGCGGTGGGGCAGGGAGGGGTCAAGCAAAGGGACCACACACAAACCCGAGGGCTCGTTTCCCTGTGGCTCAGACCGAGGGTCGATGCTCTCTACTCAGGAAAGGGACAGCAGCAGCAGGAGGGACCCAGGGTAAATGCGACTCCAGCCCGTGCCTGGGTGCCATTGCTTTATGAGCCAGACAGCCCGACCACGCCGGGCGTTCATTGGTTCACCGTAATGACAGCAGCCAAGATTTCTGGAAGCATTGGCTGTGCAACAGACACTGTATTAAACACTTTGTTTAGATAATGTCACTTAACTCTCACAAAACCCGGTGAAGGAGTTACTACCATTATTGCTATTTTATACTTGAGGAAATTAAAGCTCAGAACGGTTAAGTAACTTGTTCAAAATCATATAGCTGGTAAGTGATAGCTTTGGGATTTGGAAACAAGAGTCTGAGTTGAGTTTTCTCTTGTAACTGCTACAATATACTGTTTTCCCTCCTTTGTTCTCTCTTCCCATCCATCCAACCTACCCACCAACTAACCAACTAACTAACCAACCAGTGTATGTGGAGAGTGTACCCTCTGCCAGGTGTCGGGGGTACAGGACAGCTCTCGTGGGGCATACATAACTCAGTGCCTGGCAGTGTGGCTCAGCCAGTCACTCTTTTTTGTGTGTGTGTGTGTGTGTGAGGAGGACCAGCCCTGAGCTAACATCTGATGCCAATCCTCACCTTTTTTCTTGAGGAAGATAGGCTAACGTCCATGCCCGTCTTCCTCTGCTTTGTATGGGATGCCGCCACTGCATGGCTTGACAAGCGGTGTGTCGGTGGATGCCCAGGATCCGAACCTGTGAACCCCAGGCCGCAGAAGCTGAGCGCGCACACTTAACCGCTTGCACCACCACGCCAGCCCCAGCCAGTCACTCTTTTAAATCTCTCCATTCTCTTTTAAAACTAAAAAGGTTGACTCTTGCTATTGTTTTAAAAGTAATATGAATTCAGTATATATAGACACTTCGGAAAACAGAAAGAGGAGGAAAAAATTGCATACATATTCCCACCACTCAGAGAAAATCTGTGATCATTAAAATTTTGGTATTTCCTTCTGGTCTTTTTTTTTTTCTTCTGATACTTAAATCTTTTTAAATTTTCTAATGGGTTAGACCTGTGCTGTCTAGTAAGGTAGTTACTAGCCAATGTGGCTATTAGGTACTTGGAACATGGAAGTCCACGTTGAGATGTACTATAATTTCAAAGATATAAATTCAAGGATGTGCTCAATTCTGAGGACTTGGTACAGAAAAAAACAAAATGAAATATTAGTACCTTCTTACATTTAGTATATATTGAAATGACACCATTTTGGATGTATTAGGCTAAATGGTATTAAAATTAATTTCCCATATATTTAAAATGTGGCTATTCAAAAATTAAATTTAAGTATGTGGCTTGCATTATGTTTCTGTTGGGCAACACTGGTTTAAACCATCCCGAATAAACAGTGTTATGGTTTGACTCATCATTTGACGTGCTACCCAACACTTTTTCCCTGTATTTTCACTCTTAGTAAACCCCTTTGTTTTTCTTTGCTGAAGAAGATTTGCCCTGAGCTAACATCAGTTGCCAATCTTCCTCTTTTTGCTTGAGGAAGATTCACCCTGAGCTAACATCTGTGCAAATTGCCCTCTATCTTGTATGTGGGTCGCTGCCGCAGGATGGCCGCCAACGAGTAGTGTAGGTCCACACCCGGGGAACCGAACCTGGGCTGCTGAAGCAGAGCATGCCGAACTTAACCACTAGGCCACGGGGCCGGCCCCAGTAAACCCTTTTTTCTTTTTAAGTGGCTGCCTAATGTTTGAGTGTATGTGATGTAGTTTACCAGGCAGAGCTTAAGTCGTTGGCTATTAAATATAACACAGTGGTTAATATTATTTATGAAGCTATTGGTATATTTAGGAATTTTCCCTAGGAGAGATTCCTGGAAGGGAAGTGACATGAACATAATAGGTTCCTGTCATGGGGGGAGGGGGTGAGAGGAGGTGGGGGTGAATGGGGGGACCAACAGGGAAGCTCTCAGCACCTGACACGCTCCCGGCCCTGGCCCCAGCGGCGCTCATAATTGTGGCAGACACCAGCTTTTAAGAAGCTGGCAGAAAGGAGTTGGCTCACGTGAAGGTCGAAACCGCTTTGTGAGATGGAAGTTCCCTAAGCATTGTTAACAGTTATATGCACGCACACACATCATATGTATAACATGCTACATCTCGCCATCCATCTCCCCACCCACCCACCTGCCTGACAGTTATCTGCCATGCAGGAAGGAGATCAGAACACGTAACGCTTAATCCACGGTGATGGATTTAAAATCATGGACTTGGAGACTGAAGAGTTGAATGGTCCCTCCAGCCCTCGAGGCCAACCCCAGCCTTTACCCCTCCCCTCCCTAAAATCGCAGAGATGGAAGGCAGTGTCTCCTCACACTCATGTCTGTAGCTGACAGTTGAGGACACTGAGGCCCTACAAGGGCAGTGTCTTGCCCTCTCATTAACATCAGGCCTACTTGACAGGTGAGGACCACCAGGTTCCAAGAGGCCAAGGGGTCTATGAGGGTCCCAGAGTTAGTAACAGGGACACACTTGAGGTTCAGACCCAGGCCTGTCAAACTCCAAACTATACCTTCTGACTTCCTTTCTTGGGCCTAATACATCTTGGGCAGATGGCTTAGCTCCTTGAGGGGTTTCCCTGGGATTTCCAGGGATCTGAAGTGTGCAGGAGACCCAGCTCCACCCATGTCTGTTTTTGAGAGAGGAGCCAGGAGTGCCCAGGGCAGAAGCCAGTACTGTGGAGGCTGGCCGCAGGTGCTGCTTGGCCCTTGGAGAGCCCCGTGGTGGCAACTGGGACAGGGGTCTTCCAGCTGGACCCAGAGGCACAGCAGATAAAGTCAGGTTACATTTGAATCATGAAGTCATGAGTGATACATCAGACCTGGGTGCCAAATGAGGGGCAAGCTCACTTGTATGCAGGGGTCAGGCAGGCAGAAGAGCCCAAAAGCCAGATGTGGTTTGGGAACCAGGTTGCTATGTGGTGTGGAGGACTGGGGCAGAGTCTTGGCAGAGAGCTGTGGGATGGAAGGTCAGGGTGAGATAGCAGGAGCGTCTCCAGCTGCCCAGTGACCTTTCCAGTGACCTGGAGATCTTGAGAGGCTCAGAAGCGAACATGTTTCAAGCAGAGCTCTTGTTTTTCCCCTTCCATACACACAGACACATTTTCTCCCCACCCCATCTTCCCATCTCAGAAAATGGTAGCATTATCCACCCAGTTGCTCAAGCCACAAACCCCAGAGGCCATCCCTGATTCCTCCCTTGTCCTTACTGATCTGTGTAGTCCGTTAGTGGCCCCTATGGGCTCTGCCCCCGGACATACTGCAGACCTGTCCACCTCTCTCTGTTCCCACCACCAGCACTGTGGGCCAGCCCACCATCCTCTCTTGCCTAAACCACTACAGCAGCCCCTTAATTGTCCCTCTACATTATCATGTACCCACTTCATTCCGTTTTCCACACAGCAGCCAGAGAGCCCACTAAGAAACATAAATTGGATCACGTCGTTTTCCAGTGCTTCCCATTTCTCTCCAAATAAATGCCGGATGCCTCACACTGGTGCTTTGGCCTCTGCCCGCCTCTCTCTGACCTTATCCCGCTCACTCTCCCCTTTGCTCTCTCTGATCTGACCTTTGCACTTGCTCTTTGCTTTCCTGTAGTGCGTTTCCTTGGCTCATCCCATGGACATCATTCTAGTGTCATGTCCATTGTCACCTCCTCCAAGCAGTCTTCCCTGATGATGTGATCTAAAGCTCACTCTTGCCCTTTGTTCTCTACCAGTGCACATTGGCTGATTTTCTCAATTACACTGACGACTTTCTGGAGTTTATCTAACTTATTTGTTGTGTATGATCTGTCTACTCTCCCACTGGAATATAGGCTCCATGAGACAGGGACCTACCTGCTCTGGGTTGTTTGCCACAAAACCCCATTGAGTACTGGGCTTGGTAGGACCATCACTTGTTTGAGAGTGGGGAGGAGTGAATCTCATCACGACGTGGTAGATTTCCCTAGGAGTCTCAAGGGTTTGGTCCTGAGTGGGTGGTGACACAGGTTACTCCAAGGCATGGCTTTTCACGTCCTGCAGGAGAGGCCAGTGTTGGGACCATAGCCCCAAAGATCCACCTTCCTGTCTATGCCCAGCTGCCCACGAGTCAGCCTCTGGAGAGAGCTCGGGAGAGATGGCACCCCAGGGGAGAGGGCTTCTTTAGGAAGGCTGGGGCGGGCCATGCCACGAGGAGTCCTTGGGCATCTTTGGCACCCCCTGTTCTGACCAAATTGACACCCCTTCATTCATGCTTCCAGGAGCCCCACCAGCCCTCGCTAGGAGGCCTCTGTAGTCTGGTTACTGGGCTGCACCGTGACCGCCATGGGCTCCTAGGGCCCCTCAGACCCTCCTGCTCATTTTACCTCAAAGCTAATGTACAGAAAGCACATCCGGTGTGTAGTACCACGTACTCGACATGCATTGTTCCATCCAGTTGTCCCAGCACCCTGTAAGGCAGGCACCATTTCTGCCATTTCACAGCTGAGGACACTGGAGCCCCGTGGGGTGCCCTGACCTGCCCTGGATCCCAGAGCTGTGAGGAGCAGAGCCGGGCGTCCCTCCAGACCTGACTCTGAGTCCTTGCTCTCAGCCACTTCTCTCCTTCCTCTCGGGAAGGCCTGGGTTCTCGGCCTGGCTCTGGGAACTGGGCCAGACCCTTTCACCTCCCTCAGCCTCAGTTTCCTGCTCTGTGAAATAGGGGAATAACCCATGTGCCGCTTGCTCACAGAGGCAGTTGTGAGAGTCAAGCGCCTAGAGGCACCGTGGGTTCACTGGGCAGGAGGAGGGAAAATTCAGGCAACTTCCCCACCTCTCGTCCTCAGCTGCTGTTATTCCTGA